CGCTTTTGTCGTTTTTGCACTTTGCGAACAAGCACAATGGCGGCATGTCTGCGCAAACCCTACAACAACTATATCTACATTTGTATGCGCGCGTGATTGTGTTCATATGCTGTGTATATATTCAATATTGTATTTCGTTCGGTGTGGCGTGGGTGGGCATTGTGTCGAAGCGCCTTCGCTTCGGCGTCGCGCGATTGAAACGTATCGATTAGGTGAGAGTTGAAACGCGAGGTGAAAGCCTTGTCTGTTTACAACCGGTGAAGCAACAGCCAAATGTATGGATTCACAAAAACATAAATAAAGTAAAAAAACAAAAACAAAAAATAAATAAATAGAAACACGCATGTTGACGTACATTATTCTCTATTTATTTATTTTATGATAAATCTAGGAATATTTTGAAAGAATTTTAAGGTTAGAATAAGTTAAACTGTCAATTTAAGTAGTGCCATGTGTTATACAGTGATTTAACTTGTTATTTTCTGTTTTGATGTAACTACACGGATTTTAAGGTTATTTTATGTTAAACTGGCAGAATAAGTAACGCCATCTATTTTAATATGTCTTAACTTGTATAAAATTAATTATTTTGGATTTTCTATTTAAAAATGTAAATTTTGAGTCAAATACCGGTTTATCTGTATTATTTTTGTAAAATTGTCACAATACCGGTAATACCGGTATATATTTTTAAAATACCGGTATTTTTCATCTCTATAAACACTTTCCTATAAATTTTAAGATTTTTTATGTAAAATTGACAGTTTAAGTAGCGCCATCTGTTTGACAATATCTCAACCGTGTCCGATATCAATTTTTCCACGGATTTAGTATTTAAGAACGAAGAATCTCCCAAGATGCAGCAGTAGTACGTAATTTATCAGCACGAAGCGAAACCAGCAAGAGCGGCAATTCTCACGCTCGGTTTGGCGCCCTTTATGGGCAATACGTTTTCGTTGAGCTTCGAGGTTCTTGGAGCACACACGAAGTCGCCGCACGCCGCCAACCAGCCACACGCACCCACCCTCCCTCTGGTTTTGGCCGGAGACGGCAATTTAATTACAGCCGCTGCTACTATATACGCGTAGCCCTTCGAAAGCTCATTCCATTCTGTAACTCTCTGCTCCTCCAGAGCAGGAGAAGCAGCAAGGAGTATGGAATGGACTGTGAGAGCTCACGGATGCGCGCATTATATCTATCTGCGTTATAATTATGGGGAATTTATAAAGATTTACTCGACCGTATCCGCCGATCTAACGAGCGTCGTCCTTAAAATCGCCTAATGCCGAATTTATAGTGTGTAGAGTAATTGCAGCAATGCCAGCGCAGAGCAACGCATTAATTCTCGTGGAAATAATAACGCTTGATGAAAATAATAATGATAAATGTTGACCGAAGTAAATGTAGCTTTATTAAAACTATAGGCAACCAAGTATACACTCATAAGCTTACATCTTAACCTCATAGATTTTTATTTTTTATTTTTTTGGGTTTTATGCTGAGGATTTACTTTGTTTTGATAAATAACTTTGCGATATTAAATCCAACGGCAATTTAATACACCGAGACGTTGTGGCCGAAAGTTTAAATTGCTCTGGACGGCGAATACAAGAAGCGGAACAATGTATAATCATTAAAGTTCAATTATTATGTATTAAGTTACGTCTTGATCTTCTGCATCGTTAGATTATCATTAGTGAGTTGCCAAAAGTTAAAGTTTCGGCTGAAATAAAAACAATTTTTTTTTATTTTTTGTTTTCCGAACACCCTTGGTTGGAGTTGAATCAGGGTGTCAATTGCATCCCTCCCCTCATATTTTTATAGTCTCAGGGGTGACAATGATTCAATTTCGTTTGCAAATGACATTTGACATTGAAAACACTTGGAAAATAAGACATCAATGAAATTATTTTGAACACACTGTATAATATTAAGATGGCACATATGCATGTGAGTTTTTACGACGTAAGAAACTTCCTCGCTAAGCAATATCAGCAATATTCACTGATAACAAGTGTTTTCAATGGCAGTGGCGTGCGATGTAGGCAACACACTTCACATCACTTTGTCACACTTTTCTTTTTTGTTGCTTGTGTAGTTTCTGCGCATTCACCAAATTTCTCTTGTTCGCACCCTCGTGAATGTATTGCAGCTCATTCATGCCCGGCCATCTTGAATGTAATAATCGCTGCCATTGCTACCAATAACGTGCCAACTTTTCTGCTTTCTTTTTCTTTTTTGCTTCTTCTGGAGAAGCTTTTGTTACTGCACACATATTATAAGAGCAGGTATGCGTTCCGGCACCCTGCTGCTTGAATGAACGGCATAAAGAATAAAATATAGACTTATATTATTATACAAGCGCGATGGAATAAAGGCGGAGAGTGCTAAATATTTAATAAGCGCCGAATTGCGCGCAACGAGACGACGACAAACAAAAAATGAGTTGGGGAATCACAAAAGATTCATCCGCCAACAATTTCTATACATTCTTTTAGTTTTCTTGTAAAAACAAGAATAAACAAACAAGTTATTCAAGCATGAGTACATTTTTAATGTATTATTGGTTGCCTATAGTAATTTTATTATACTTTTAGTAATTTAAGTTTTGTTTATGAGAAAATTCAGTTTTTGTTTATGAGAAAATTCAGTTTTTTCTTGTCAAAAAGCACAACGTATACAAGCATATATAAATGTTTAATTGGTTGCCTATAGTAGATTTTGTCAGTTTTAGGATTTTAAGTTTTGTTTTTGAGAAAATTCTCATTCTTTTAAGTTTCCTTGTGAGAAAACACTAGTTATATAAGCGTACATGCATTTTTAGTGTTCAATTGGTTGCCTACAGTTCATTTTCATATTCTTTTCAGTAATTTTAATTTTGTTTATGGGAAAATGTACAATTTTTAATTTTTTCATGTAACAAAGCAAAATGTATACAAGCATACATAAATGTTTAATTGGTTGCCTATAGTAAATTTTGTTTTGTAAGTTCTGTGTTTAAAAACTACACAATTAATTAGTTTTCTTTTTAAAAACATAGATTTTAATGTTTAATTGGTTGCCTATAGTGGATTTTCTTCTTTTTATAAGTTTAAACTTTGTTTTCATGAAAATGCACCTCTCGCTGTAAATTAAAACGTTAAGCTGTTAAGCGATATTGTGCAAATACGACAATCGTCGTGGCCGTGCAGCTCGAAATTAATTAAGTATTTAATTAGCTAAGTAGTCGTCGCGGGCGCGTGAGGGGCAATTTGCGAAATGAATTAAATCCGTACGTGCGTCGTAAATTCGCAAAATCTCGCGGCGCGCACTTTTCCCACCTTACTAACCGACTACATAAATTATATACAGAGTGTTCACATCCACCAATCACAAAATAAATTAAAAATTCACTTTAATACCCCAAAAATCTCTAAAAATAAATAAAAATTAAATTTTCAACTAAACATACTGTATTTCCCTAGATATGTGCCTGTGTATGAAGTGTGAATACCATGTGGACGTGGCAAATGTGTTCGTAACATGCATCGCGGGTTAATCAAGGTCTTAACGCCGGCAAACAAATTTATTCCACCCTCGCTTCTTAATGCGCGCGTCTCCACAGCCGCCTGCCGCTCGTAACTAGCCGCACCTCTCCGTATAACAATTACTGGCCGAGGCGTCGTTACTCACACGACACGGCGGCGGCGAGCGTCGTACGTTCGGTAGTTACTTAGGGCCAATCTATGCGCGTTCGCCACCCCTCACATGGCAAACTACAACGCTACAACTTAGTTAAAACGCGTTTAAATTATGAAACAACTAAGATTCATTGCTTCATTGCACAACTATACTGGTAATCATCATGTAGGCAACACATCATACACTTTAAAGTAAAAAATTGAAAAAATTGAAATTTTGATGTTTTATGAATAAATAAGAGTTATTATTGTTTATGATATGTTTTTAAAGTATTATTTATAGTTATTATTAATGTTTAATTAGTAATTTTGTTAATTTTAATATAATTTTACTTTAATTTGTGTTCAAGGTGATTTGCCGTACTATAGGCAACCATTCATACACATTAAACAAAAATAAAACAAAAATTCAAGCGTTTTACAAATAAATTGAACGTATTATTATTATTAATACATTTCTTAAGCATTTTCTTAAGTTATTTTCAATGTATAATCAGTATTATTGTTAATTTTATGATAATTTTATTTTAATTTATGTTTAAGATGGTTTGTTGTACTATAGGCAACCATTCATACACTTTAAAACAAAAATCAAAAATTTCAACGTTTTATGAATAAATATTACTTATTATTGTTAATAATACATTTATTTAATGTTTTTGCAATTACTATCAATATATAATCACTAATCCCGTTAATTTTATGAAAATTTATTTTTAATTTATGTGTAAGGTGGGTTGCATACCACACAAACACATGAACAAACTGTTCCCAACCTTAAAACATTCTCCTCTACACTTTAAACAACTTCCAAGATGTAAACCTGCAAGGACCTTGGTATAACCCACCCCGTTGATTAGTAAGCGGTCCATTGTAACGGATTACCCCGCATCCTGGCCCGGGTAATACTGTAACGTCTTAACAAGTCGCTCTGCTTGTCCCGCTTGTCGGAAAGTGGTCGCAAGGACGCGCGGACGCACCAACGTGAAGACACGCGGCGCTTTGTTAAGATTAAAGCATTAACAAGGATTCACAACATTTGCAAGACTCACAATTCATCCTGTGAGGGTTAAACACGTACGTAGCAACTAGTAAGTCACTGAATTTCCAAGTTTCTTGTTTGTAATCTGCATGTGCACAACATAATTTCATCATTTACAGACATAATAGTCACAATAACATAACCTTAAAGATAATAATCTTTAAGAAACAAAATATTAATATTATCTGAGTATCTGAGTGTTTTCTTAGGTGTTAAATAATTTAATACTTCTTGGAATTATATATTTAGTAAATCCAGGATAATCCTAATGTATTTTCATGTTTTCACGCGTGAATTCAGTATAAAACGACGGTGCGCTTTGTTATTACAGTATAACATCAAGTTCACGTCGATAACACTTGAGATTTTTGTGTTTTTGAAGAAAAATGAAATTTACGTTGATTTTTGCGCTTGTTTTGATTGTTTTGGCTGTGCTTACTGGACAATGCGAAGGACGATGGAAAGCATGGAAGAAAATAGTAAGTATTTTATTTTTTAACATAAAAATTTGCTTATTTTGGTTAAATTACAGGAAAACAAAGCTAAAAAGGGATGGAAAGTTGTAAAAGAAGTCGCGCCTGTTGCTGGAACTATCGCTGCGGTTTCCTCACTCGGAAAAAAATAAAAAAATAAAAAAATAAAATTATTTTAATTAATTTTGAGTATTTTAATTATTCCCTAAAAAATCAAGATTCTATGCTGTAATAATGTTCAAATGTGATTTTCACATAATTAAGAAATAAATTTCAAGATGACGTGAAAGAATTAACAAGGAAAATAATTAAAATTTTCTATATATACACAGAGCAAGCTCACTAAGTGGTTATTTTCTTGATGACCTGCCAAAAACTCATCTTTCTATCTTGCTTGCGCAGACTCCTCTCTAATTACCATCCCTATCCTAATTAATTCCGCGTTCAATATTCTAACATCCAAATTCAAATCATCGCAGTTATGCTTGCGAATGGGGGTGCTGCGTGAGTTTGGGCATTAGTTTATTTTAAGACGCTTAAGTGTCTCGCTAATTGCTGTCGAATTGCGTACATGTCAAGTGGTTTCCTGTCGATAGTAATTATGTTTCAAATTACATTATTAAAAAAAATCATTTTTGTATAATAAAAATTTTGATAAAGTTTTAAAAAGATTTATTAAATACTAGCAACGTGATGATTACGCTGTTTGTTCTACTTTCACTTTAGTTCCAGGCGTGACTAAAACTCTCCGTGACTAAAACCCGTGACTAAAGTATTTTAGTCACTGCCTTGACCGTCCGTGTATAAAATACGACTTTCTGGATCTCTAAACCATGGAAAAACTGACGTTTTATAGATAAAAGTAAAAAAACATTTTTTAATTAAAAAAAAATCACATTTTGACAATGTTTTAAGTAATATTATTAAAGTATTAATAAATAAACTCTAAATAAATATTCTGAGTCATTTTTCAATGTCAAAAAAAATTAACCACAGAATAAATGTTTAATGTTTACATTTCCAGTGACACATTCTCTAATTTTAGTGTAAATATTATCAAAAATCTTAAAAATTATCATTGTGTAAATAATATTAAATAATGCAAGATGTATTTTACATTTTCGTATAACTCGCACGTGTTTTTCACAATGTGCGCATTAAATAAACACTAAGCATTAGTAAACACAGTAAGCAAAGTAAATTAATAGCCGAAAATTTCAATAGTAGCGCACGTGGAGCATATTCATCCCTATCGTGCGCAGACCCGAAGCTGTCTTTCAGCTTTCTTTCCGCTTTGAAACGCGCGCATTGTTGAGCTTTCCGCTAATTCGACCTTTTTATGATTGTAATGAGCACCGCGGCGCGATATAAAAGCGAAATGAATGTCATAATAACTCACACACAACATGCGAATGGGGTCGGCGATGGGAAGAGTGTGGAATGAATGGGAACCAGTCATAAACACAAGAAAATTACGCAAGAAAATTTTATTGAGATAATTTGATATGACGTGGTTTAGGGGTGAGAAATACCGGTATTAATATCGGTATACCGGTATTTTTGTTCAAGTATTCATTTTTTCAATATACTAAGGAAATTTACCGGTATAATCGCAATTTGGGTTTAAAAAAAGACCGGTATCAATACCGGTATACCGGTTTTTTTTTTCAATAAAAATATTTTTTGGTGCGATTTTATTTTCAATACATACCGATATAAAATAAAATTTTAAAAAATTTATAAATACCGGTAATACCGGTATACCGGTAGTATATTTTTTTTATTATAATTTTTTATTATAATTATTTTTTAATCAAAATACCGGTATTAAACTCAAAATTCACATTCTTAAAGTAAATTAATAATAATAAATTGTCTAAATCAAGTAAAATAATAAATAATTTTTAATTTTTTGCTATTTCTATTTTTACTGCAACTAAAACTCTGTTTTTCTTATCATTTGCAAAGCTGATAATAAAATTGCACTAATTTTAATGATTTATTCCAGTCTGACCACATCCGTTCAGTAAATCACAATGAAAAAACAACATAAAACTTAATAAATCAACACTTCATCACCAATTTTCCTCCATTCTACATTTAATCGTCAGTAAATAAACATCTTAATAATTATTTCACTACTATTCAAGATGGTCCTACGAGAATTAACATTTCTCACTGTTTTATTAATTGTTTCGTGTGTTCATACAAACGCACGATCTTTTGATGGCATACGCAGCGATGTCATTGAAACTAAATACGTGCCTGACCCGTCAGAAACAAAAAATATCCAAGGACAAGATTCCTTCGACGTTAACGATGATATCGCCAACGCGAAGAAACCTGGATGGATGGTGAGAACTTACAGAAAATTCACAAATGTTTTTAAACGCCCCAAACACATAGAAACACCGGAAACGGAAATAAGTAGCGATGAAATTGATCAAAATGCAAACCAGAAAGTAAGACAAATATTCTTTTCAACAATAAAACTTTAACAAACCAATAATTAATTAAAAAAACTTCATAAAATTGTAAGTAGTAAAAATAATTAATAATTAATACATAAATAACCGGTTGTAACATATTAATTAATAATTATTTCATATTTTTACTTAATTTTTGTATTTTTTTAATAAAATGTGTATATCTGGTTGCAGAAAACTCAACTAATGCGTTTCGGTGATATAACATCAAGAGTAAGCAACAGTCTAGGCGGATCTGCAATGCGGGTTGCCGGAGTCATCGAGAAGTTATGCAAAATGTTAAAAACTGTCATCCCAATCGTCGCAGCTGTCTGCAACGTGGGACAATTCAAGTTTTGCATGTCTGCTGATGCACCACTTGAATTAGGCGAGGCTATGAATCGTCCTTTGGACTTAAACTCACCAGATAAATAAATTCATCACTATATTCAACTTATTAACACTTTTTTCAATGATTTGTATTCATTTAATTTAATAAATCACTTTGTAAAATTGTGAAATTTTAAAATTAAGATCAACTCTAAACAATTCCAAAGTTTACTTACAATTTATTTCATTGTTTGATTTCGGGTGCGGATTTTCTGCTTCCTTTAATCCTTTTATCCGGTCACGATGCGCGTAAAAGGGGTGCGTCTCAACCTTTAAGGTTTTCGACCAACTGAGGGTTGCTTCCAGCTATCTACGCGTAGTTCTTCGCATTTATCACCGCCCGGTTTAATTCGTCTAATTCTTTAATGCTTTAAAGACTCCCTTCGCAATCAGTTTTATTGACTTCTTATTCTTAACGTCTTAACAAGTAACTAACTCGATGACAATGAGTTAATTTTCGTTCTGCGTGCGCGAACAAACTCAATCGACGCGGATTGCATCACGGATTTACTTCTAAAAGGGTTAAAGAAAGTTTCTCTACAAAATAAACACTGAAATTAGTAAATTTAAGATTTTTGGAGATAAAATATGATAAAATTTAACTTTACCTTCATTTTCAGGTTGCAATCCGCTTCAGATTTTTACAATCAAAGAAAATAATGAAATTCGATGAAGCAAGCGAATATTGTTCGAAGAGTTCGAAGAGGATAAACGTCCCATCGGAAAATATTACGTGCGTCCGCCTGCACAGCGAGAAAAATAGATAAAAGATCGTAATTGAATCAAGAACGTGGTTTTTCCGCACGTTAGCCCAACGTGATTGCCGGGCGGAAAGTGGCGCGCCGCGAGGGATGCAATCGGGGACACGCTTCGAATCGCTCACGTCCGCATCGATGGTCGTCAGAGCTACGTGTCTAAATCGCAACAATCGTAATGCAATAATCGGACACAATAAACACGCTCTGTAAGTTCCGTATTACACAAAACTCAAAATGGTTGTATATGTTTTGGTGTATACTTGGTTGCCTATAGTTTACACACACCACATTACGATTTAAAAAGTTAACCTTAGAATTTTTGTATTTTCTGCTGACGTGTTCAAGACGAGTGAATTTCTCAGCGTGTGCAATTATTAATTCCGGTCTTCATTTGCCAGTTGCTCGGTCAATGTTTGAATGTTGACCATTGTGCTCACGAAAATTGCTTGCTCGGCTCGAAACTTCGTCTTTCGATAAGAATCGGCCCGAGTGACCCGAGGATGTTTAGAGCCGAGGGACGCCGAAGTGGTGAAGGTTTTCAATATAGCGACGCAATCATCGCGGCTTCATCGCAGTTTAATCGAGAAATTGAGCTGGGAGAATGTCTTTCGAGTGTGAAAGGACCCACACAAGTACTCCACCCTCCAAGATGAAGTCGCAGATGAAGTATTTGTTTAGGATTAATTGCACTACGCATCACAACGCATCAAAATCAAAATCCTAACCTAAAAACTTAACATTTCACATTTTTTCATCAAAAAAGTAAGTAAAATCAAATAAATTTATTACAAATGTTTCAATTTCAATCTGTTTTAGGTTCTGGTGTATAATTTGCGTGATATTATTCGAAACCGTGAGTATGTTTTACTTGGCATGCATTCACGACTAAACAAACATGGCGCCCGTCGAGCCAAACACTAATCAGTGAATTAAATGAATTAAGTGCGAGTACGTGTACGGCGTCATCGTCATGTGTGCAAACATTCCATCGCAAACTACCCCGACCATAGTTGGTTCGAGATTCAGAGCGAATATTTGTCTTTCGGTAATGTGAGAGATAGTGAGTTGCGTGCGATGAAGTTGAATATTTTTAAAAAACTTTTCTAACTTTCAACACGCTCCACCGGCCTGTATCGCTATCGCCCGGCTGGCAATTTATGATATTACGTTTATTTAGGAATGTTTGTCTTACTTTCAGTTTTCGGCTTCAATCAACGTCCTCGCTGCGGAACACTCGTCCTAATTGCATATTCGCAAATTAATTAATTTCGCACGTCTTCATGTTTTCCACTTTGTTTCCTCTGCCATTTCATTTTCGGCTACCAATCACAGATGGAGATTTAAATATAAATTTCGCGCTGTGCGTTGAGGGTTGCGTCAAGCGTGAGTTTATTTGAGCGATGAGTTATGCGTGTTTACACACCGCGACTGAAGGTATTTCGCGCTGCGACTTCCGGGGGATGTGCTTCGCTTCCTTGATTTCGGCTTTCGCTTCCTTTAACTCTTTGCGCACGCAGTCAGGATGTCAAAATGTAAATATTGGAATATCATCGAAATGAACGGTGTCAACTTAATTAAAAATATTCGCACTACCGGATATTACTATATATTTTAGATGTGAAGTATTGAGGTTAATACCGGTATACCGAAATACCGGTATTTTTTGTTATCAAAATATCGGTATACCGGTATTTATAAATTAATTATATTTTCAATCAACAAGAAAATTAATTAATTAATTGATTTAAACACAAAAAATACCGGTATGTGAATACAAAAATACCGGTATACCGGTTTTGATACCGGTATTTCTCACCTCTAATCAAAATATCTGAATATCGGTATCAATATCGTATTGACAAATATCGGTTTAAAAAAATTACCGGTATACCGATATTTATACCGGTATTTTACAGTACAATGCGCATGTGCTAAAATTAACAAGAGTATTGTGATGAATTGTGGTATGTGCTATTACCACAACGTAAATTAGCAAAATTTCCCGCCGCCTTTGAAAGTTGCTGCGCGGTTCCCGCGCGCTTTACGTTTATGTGGCGATAATAACGCCAAGGGAATATTTTGTATGCGATTTGATGAGGAGGTCGACGGCGGTGCGCGCGCTTTAACGCAAACGATGTAATAGTTATGTAAATGCTAAAAAGGCACTAACAAGCTTTTCGCATCCGCCCCGCAATGAAACATTCAAGTCCGCATCAACATCTACATCCACTACATTCGCATTTGCATTTACACGTCAGACGACAGTGACAGAGGGTGGTAGAGAGTATTAGCGGCTGGTTGCTGGTAGAATCAACACTCACTAGCGAGTGACGTGATGACGCAATGACGCGATTTTACATTCGTAATCCGGCAAACGACTAATGAACGCTCGCGCGAACGTTTGAGAACGTTTACGGGTTGAAAGTTGTGTCATGATCACATCACGCACGTATATATAGGTGAAGTTGGTGAACACAGCGCCAAAGGGGATGTAAAATGCACGCGTGCCGCCGGGGAAAAGCTTTTAAATCAACCTGTGAGCGAAACGCGTTCTCCTGGGCTTCGACGCCTTGGTGGTGCCGTCATGTGACTCCATGAGTGATGATAATCATGTGAAATGCGTTTGCATAAATAGATTATCACCTTCTATTTACGTGAGTTTGCTTTGATGTGTGTACACACGGCAAACGCACGAACTAAAAAATATTTAACATAGGCAACCAACTTTACATCACAAAATAATAAGATACATATAACTTTCCTTTAAATCAAACCGCAAACGCACGAATTAAAAAATGTGTAACATAGGCAACCAATTTTACATTACTACATAATACTAGGTTGCATACAACTTTCACAGAATACAAGTACATCTGTTTCCTTTAAATTAAATTTAATTTAATTTAATTGCGATTTGTAATCAATGCACAATGCATATGCATGATCTTCTTCTCTCAAGTGAAGACACTACTCGTCTAAATTCCAACTCTGAGCGTAACATTTTGTTTGAATTAAAATTAAAAGCCGGATATGCCGTCGTCATTTGCATCTTTGCAGGGCGTGCGATACTCAACTCGTGGCGGTTCAATAGACACTGATCTGCATTTCTGCATTTCAGACATCCATCAAGATTCAGGATTTAATTACTGCGCGCCACTCGCGGATTTCTTCAACTCTTCCTTGCGATCTCTAAGCGTTTTATCTGTACTTTGAATTTCGACATCGTGTATAAAGGCGGCATCGGTTTGAATAATGCATAATGAATAAGTGCAAGATGTGAGATGAAGATGCGAAAGCGATATCTTTATTAAATTCACCCTTTTGTCTTTGGTCTGAGGGTTGAAAATGCTAAAATCATATGTTCGACACTTGTGCGTTGTAATTTTAAGACCTCAAAGGGTTGTTTTCAACAAGTAAAATTTAAATATTTATGTTTCTCTTTGTATTTTGAGGTTATATCTGTTATAGGGGTGTGAAATACCGGTATTTAACCGGTATATTTCAAATACCGATATTTTTTAATACGATGCTGCTTCAATAGGAGAAAATTTTGATTCGGGATGTGAAATACCGGTATCAATACCGGTATACCGGTATTTTTGGTTTCAAATACCGGTATTTTTTGGTTTTAATACTTCCATAATTCAATTTAATTACTGATTGAACAGATAATTAACTATATAAATACCGGTATCACCGAAAAACCGGTATTAATCTAAAATTTTCCATCCCCAATTCCCAAAAATATTAAATTGAATTTTGTATTTATTTTTTGCACTCCGAAAGTTTGTTTAAAGTCCCCTAGAGACATCTTGAAACTCTGTCTGTAACATAACCTTCAATACTTGTAAAAATAAAAGCATCGCAAGCTTACCAACTGCCGCAGCTACTGGTACTTCGCGTAATTCCCCTGATTCTCCATCGTCGGGTATATTCACATGTCCAATACGTTTAGTGGACCTCAGTGGTTTGTTTCCATTGAAATAAAACTCCGTCCGCATATAAGCGATGATTGAAAATGGAAATTCGGCGCTCGCACAAGTTAATAGATATAGGGCTTCGGTGCGTACAGTTTTAGATTGATATCACGTTTGAGAGCACACACTGCAATGCAAACGTTTGCGAGCGCAAGTGGTGGAACATATGCGCCTCCACCATCGCCACCGCCACGGAAAAGGGTTGCAGCCCTCACGAGGAACGTTTTTTAATTAAACTCTTTTTTATTTCGTTTTTCGTCAAACGTGTATTGATATAATTATAGCGCTAAAACATGAGTGTTGCAAAAATTTGGACAAGTTGAGCTTCCAGGAGGGTCGTTTGAAGTTGTCCATTGGGTTAAAATTGTCGAATTCGTCACGAAATTGGAAATAAATTAGATCACAACCAATATACGCACTTGGA